TGGATCAGTTACTGAAAAATTTGGACTTGGAATGTTAGGACTCTGAATCCTGGATCGTTGTGAAGTAACCTGGTATTTGCATGCTTAGCGTTAATTTGTAGTGTTAATAGTTTAGCACTATACGTTGTTAATGCTATGGTAAAATGATATTTACCTATTTCCTAAAAAGATTATCAGCGAAAATGACGTCAAACTTGTTTGACCAAAGATATGATGTCAGAATCGTAAAATAGATATCTCATTGGTYACCCAATTTGAGTCGCGCAATAAATTTTTCGTTCGTAAAAATTCAGCAGAAAAAGAGCATTATATAATAAAAGAAGAAAATCTGACTGCAATGTAAAGCACTGCATTGTAAATACACTAGCCTAATAAACAAAAACAATCTTGATAATTTCTTGAGTTTGCGTTTTTTCACTCCATCAATTTCTTCATATTTTCATTTTCGTGATTTTTTTTTTTTTTTTCACCTGTAATTTTGAACCCAAAAGTTTATAGTATCCTCGCATACATGTACATCAGTGTTACTCTTTCAGTCACGCGACGCTTTTAAGTGGCTGTGAATGATGAGTTGACAAGCTATTTCCACAGGCCATGTGAAAGCGTTCTCAAGTTTCAGGGTTACGGTCTTCAAGAATCGCCATACTCTACCGGCAATGGCATTAAACACTTCGTCTTTATAGAATTATCAGCTGGCTTCCAGTAGAAGGTAGGTAACCATGCATGTTGCCATTAGATCTAGGGAATTCTGTGAAAATGTATCATAAAATAGTATATCGGAAAAATATACAAAGGAACATTGTCATCAGAACATTAAGTAATCGGCAACTAACCTCTATACTGATTGAGTCCATTGTCTAGAAGTCTGCTACTATTTGTCTGTAAGCTGTGTGCGCGGATCGAATACTCAGACTATACTTCAACTGGTTTAGATTTCTTACTAATATATTCTATACTTAGCAAAGAAAAGTTCGAACTGACCTAAGATATTCTGTGTGAGGTCTTTAAAAGTGACATCAACAGTCGTGCTATACTGTTATTTTTTAATCACAGTTGCTCAGTAGACTCTCCTTAATTACACAGCGTGTCACGGGAAAAAATCGTTCACTTTAAAAGGTTGTAAATTTGATGTAAATATTATGTAAGTGTCCAAAATGATGTAAATTTGATGTAAATTTGATGCTTAAATTTGATGTAAATTTACATCAAATTTACATCATTTTGGACACTTACATAATATTTACATCAAATTTACAACCTTTAAAGCGCGCGATTTTTTCCAGCGTGTTGTGGACTGGTTATGCARTTATTTTCTTCGAGCTGGGTGATATTCCATATCTTGCGTTACAGGACTACGAAAAACGGCCACATGAAGCAGTTTCAATAGACTTCTGAACCTTTCAAGTCACTTTGATTTTCAATGCCTTGTGGGGTCAGTTTCTAGAAGAAGACAAATGAAATCCGCTATTTTCTGTCCCAAACATATCCTACAATGCATTGCGTATGTCGGGACATGACGTAAAAGCTTCAGAGGTCTATTACTTTCCCCCCTCCCACCTTCCCCCGCCGGCATTCCCGCCAAGCATCATCATTCATCGGAGAGTTTGAGTGGGATCCCTGTTTCTCTAGGTTCAATGAGGAGGTTGTTATAAGCTACGCGTAAGTTACAAAGCTTGCATCACCGCCTGTAACAGTACATGCTGTAGAAGAAATTCAAGGTTATTTCTTTTTCTTTCTCGCCTTTTACATGCCATAACGCTGATAACATGGAGTATGTCGTCTGAATTTAGGGGAGGATCCAAGGAGGGTGCCCTGCTGGAATTATAGGTTATAGCTACTAAGAAATAATTTATCATTTTTAGTTTATTTCCAGTATTATGTCAACGATAGAATACGATTCCACAAAAGGCTCTTCAAATATAGTTTGCCTTACTGTTCAATGTATCGTGAATATGTTGAGCAGAACAGTACTAAAGTTCAGGAGAATCATGTTCTGCAAAGGCCGAGGCGAGCCCCTSCAAGGTTATCATTTTATTTTCCTGGTACTAGTAATATTGGGGTTGATGAACATAGCATTTTGGRTAGGCTTTGCTACTGCGAACCTGAAAAACCAGTACGAAAACATGAAAAACCGGTTTAAAGAACGCAAKGTTGACATACGTGACGACGTTGAAGCATTGAATCCTAACAATAGRCTATCGGGGAAGTTCTACAGAGAAATTAAATTTGATAGTGTTAAAGAAGTTGATGAGGATATTGGAAAGAACTCRGAGGACATAGRGCGACTTAAACAATTAAAAGAAGAAGCACAGAAGAAAATCGAAARCGAAGATCTGCAAAATCTAGAGAACGATGAGGAAAAGAAGGTARCAGAGTTAAATAGAATAGAGGAAAACCTAAAAMATTTTGAAGAAGATGAACGAAAAAGACAAAATGAGGAGCCAGAATTGGTAAAAATCGACGAAAGTCAACGAAATCCTGAAAATGAGCGAAATGGTGAATTACTACAGAGTAATGTTGATGTGAAACAACGAAATTCGGAAATAGAAAACCAACAAAATCAAATTGAGAAGTTAGAACGAAGGGAAAATATACAAAGCAGCTCAAAAGTTGAACAAGCGAAAAGAATCCAGAATCAGCTAAATGAGGACGCAAAACAACGAATCCAAAAGGCGGCTTCATTCACCCGCCACTCGGACGAAGTATTGAGACAAATGCCTATAATAAGTATGGATGATTTAGAAGAAAACAGAACAACTGCTATGGTTGTTGTGTTTGTAATATCATCACCTCATAGTTTTGACCAACGTCAAGCTATTCGTGAAACATGGTGGACAAAGTGCAGGGGACCACAGGTGAGTGACTTTGGAAGAATTTATATATTTTCATTTCAATGGATCGAATTTGCATCGAGTGGATCGAATGTGTGAAGTTTGAGAACTAMGTTGGTTGGTGGATTTGTTGGTTGGTTGGTGGATTTGTTAGTGATTTTCGGATGGGAGGATGTATGGGTTGGCTGGTTGTTTGGTTGAATGGTTATTTGATCTGTGTGTAAGTTGGCTAGTTGATTGTAGGGTAGGTAGGTTGGTTGGTTGGTGGATTTGTTGTTTGGCTGGCCAGTTGGTGGATTGGTTGGTTCGTTGTTGGCTGGTTGGTTGCGTTGTTTGTAAGTTGGCTGTTTAATTGTAGGGTAGGTTGGTTGGTTGGTTGGTTGATTATAGGGTAGGTTGGTTGGTTGGTTAGCAATCGTAGCTATTTGCTGGACAGCTGATTTGGACAACTCTTGTTGGTCGACTAATTGGTTGATTAACTAATTTGTTGACTGGTAAATTGCCCTAAGGAAACCAGTCCATCTACTCATCCCATCGAATTTTTCAGGCTGTTTGCTATTTTGCCACTGATGGATTCATTGAGGAAAGCATGTACGACAGATTAATGGACGAACACAAGAAGTACAAAGACATATTATTCCTTCCAACAGACGAGGGCTTGAACTCAGGGCTACGCTTGTTTTTTCTTCTTCAGTGGGCCCAATCGAAATACAAACCATCTTTCTTCCTGMGAATAGATGATGACTATTTTCTCTGCATCGAAAGGCTTCTCAATGAGTTACCTCAKAGAAGAAGCAAAGCTCTTGTTTGGGGATATTGGCATTGTGAAAACACCTCTGCAGTTTACGTTGATGAATCGTTTCTACTTTTAAGCTTTGATTTGGTGGACATGATATTGTCCTGGGATGAAAAAAAGCTTCTTTGTCATCCTTATGGAGATCAGCAACTTGCATTATGGTTGACTCAACATTCGGTTCAATTTTTCGGTTTTCACGATAAAAGACTCGCATACAATCCCACTACATCTGATTTTAATACACTGAAGAACTCCACTACTAAATTATGCGATGTCCGGCTGGGGGTTCGTGAAATTTACCCAACCGAAATGAAGACTTTTTGGTCAAATGGTAACGACGGACAGAAGCCATTCTCGAACATGGTTCCTGTGTACCCAAATGTATGCCGACATCAGCCTCGCTTAAGTTGGGATTCAGYTCAACCAAATCATCGGTATAAACCCGAATTATGCATTAAAAACCCAAGATGGATGGGGAAATGACATGATTAGGAATAAAACACTGAATTACAATCAATAGGCGTTAGAATTTTACTTACATGTCCTCAGTTAATTTAGTGAGATAGAGTGAAGTCAATGAACCCGTGAAATACATATTTGACTATTACATGTTATTACTCGATAATTCCATTGTTTTCTTTTGTGTCTATTTGACTATTACAGTTTAATTATTAACTTTTATTTCACAGGATCAATGCATTCACTCTAATAAAATAAGGTTAAATAGAATAAAATGATAAGTACTTCTGAATTGGATTTATAGTTTTCTCTTCCCCAGCCCGTCAAACAACGGTGTAATGATGACTCCAAAAAGACAAAGAAAAAGGTGAAAAATATAGATTAAGAAAGTGTAATACGCTCAAGGCATTTCCATGTTAAACCACTATAGATGCACTTTAAAACTTAAATGAAACCGCAAATATTTCATAAAAATGAATACGGGGTCAAAAACAAACAAAGTAGTTTATTGTCAGAAGGTTTTTTTTCTTTCTGCACACGTCCAAAAGTCGAGTCTGAAGACTGGGACGGTTTCTTTRCGTTTCTAAAACACCAGGTCATCAGCATTGTATAACTGAAGGCGGCGGATGTTAGAAGAAAATATGATTCGTCTACAATGTGGGAGTTGTGGCTTTCGAGCGTTCGATAAACATTTTAGCTTAAAAGTTTTGCAGTCGATCATCTTATAGTAAATGGCAGGAGTCAGGGCGTATGCGAGGGCGTACGCTTTTCTTTCATACAAAGATTTAAATTGACCTTTTTGAATCTTAATACCAGCACGCAAAATTGTTTCGGAACTATGAATGGATCAAATAGTTCATTTCACTTGGTTTAGAAGTTTATCCTCAATGAATTCCAAAGCGTAAGCATTTCTATTCAAAACCAAGTCTGTCGTCCATTCGAAAAGGGAACTATTTATGWGAAAATTACTGTTGCCAGCTGGAGTTGGTTAAAGCAGTCGGTTGTACAGTGTGAAAGAAGGGGATCTGAGGTTATGGGATAAATTGACTGTATGAAATAAGTTGCGAGGACGTACGAAAGGGACGTACATAAATCAAACTAACTGGAAAAGAAGAAATCATCGTTAAATTTAATAAATTAATGGCTATAAAAATGGATTAATTAAATGAMTAAACAAATTGCAGATGAAATAATCAAATAGATAGAGACATCTATACAATTACATTAGCTATATCTACCTCAACTGATCTTCTTTTGCGGTTTTACCTACGTCAAAGCTACAAATCCTAACGTCAAGATGTCATGGTGCTAACGAGTTAAGACTGTATTATTGTATCTTTTACTGATTTTAATGTAATCAGGATTGCCTGTCATTTATATTAATCTCTTCAAAAATAGATTAAATTGAAGTCCATTAATATGTGGTGTGAAATAGAATATTTTTATTCCACCGACATTATATCAAGCGCAACCACAAACTGTTTCAATGTTGTTTTCAGCTTTTTGTGGCAAACCATACATCATTTGATATAAGCTTTCTATCGAAATAATCTCGCTGCAGGCCCGAAGCCAGGGGGGTTCGGTTTTTCATAATGCGGACCTTTAACATGCTTTAACTATATTAGTTCAATGCACAATATAGTGTGTAAGAACTGGCTGCTAGTATGAGCAGTCCATACAAAATAACAGTATTCATAACAAAAGAATTTAAAAATAGAACTATAGAAAAAGAGAAAYACCGGGCCTTTTAAGCTTGTGGGGRAGTTYKTCCGAACCCCCCAGCCTACGGGCCTGCGCTGTACCCTTCATGATCGTAGCGCTCTAATAGAAAGTGCACGAATAGCCATCTGTGGGCTTTCTATATATAATTTGTTTTTATGCGGTTAACTTCTCTATTTCGAGTCTCGGACAATATAAAAGGGACCCCGTCTTCTCATTTGAACTTGGTTAAAGCTCCAACATGTCTTCTTCACTTGTAGCTCTCGTCGTTTTGTCCGTTGTGCTTGTATCATCTTGTCAAGGTACTAAATGTAAATAATATTTGATATATCACACAAAGAAGAATGAGATGAGAACGAAAATATGAGAATTRTAGAATGCGATACTTGTAAAAGATCGATTTACACGATGCGATCTGTCGGGGAGGGGTGTACGCTACTGTTAGAACAAAAGATTATGATTTGATGAAATAACAAAGAGAGACAGGCAATACAAAAAACAAAGATGTCCGGTAGAACAATTGGCATTGTCTGATATAGCTACAATTCTTTCTTTTTGCTGTCGCGATCTATCACAAGCTTCGTCATGTCTGGGCGGAAGTGTTCGATCTGTTTGGCACGACTTATACAGCATAGCTACAGCACGTCTCATATGTGTTTGAGCTGAGGCTCGATCAAAAACTTGAGACAAATTGTATGCCGCACTCTAGTACCACATGGTATGGCGTAGTACCACAGTAGACCCCACAGTACCATTCAACTGTCGTAAGTCGCATTTTGTAAATCCGCTAGCATAAACGAATGCCTTGGCTTTATTCTTGAGAGAGGAAGGAAGGCACATTTCCGTGCTGTGAACGATAATTACGCAAAGGCTCTTGGTCAAAAGTGCTTAATCATTTATGGATTATTAATGAATAATTAATAATATTATTAATTATCAATAATAATTCCTTTTTTTCGTAGGGTTGTCGCTTTCCAAGATCAATGATGACGGTAAGTATCTGTTACTAAAACTATAAGCTATRCGAAGTGTTATCAATTATAGTTTTGCACACTAGACACGTTAGACACGCCTTGCTTGCTTAAGTCATGTGAAACCGAGAACAATAAACCTATAAACTGCGATATTTAACTACAAGACTTTCTGTCAATTATATATCATGATTTAGAAGTATTTTTTGATGAACAGAAAAGCCCGAGTGCAAGAATGTGACCGATAAACAGCCAGTGGATTGTCGAGACACGTTATTGGCTATGAACGCTCGAGACAAGGAAAATTTCTGTAATGATTATGATTTGTGCCAGCGAACATGTCTTGGATGTGAGTATCAGTTCATACGCTCTTTTGTTTGTTTGTTGTTCGTTGTTATTGTTTTGATGCTGTTGTTATCGTTGTTGTTGTTATGGTTGCTGCTGTGCTGTTGTTGTTGTTATTGTTGTTGTTGTTGTTGCTGTTGTTATGGTTGTTTCTGTTGTTGTTGTTGTTGCTGCTGGTGCTGCTGCTGCTGCTGTTGTTGTTGTTGCTGCTGTTGTTATGGTTGTCGTTTTTGTTGTTGCTGTTGTTGTTGCTGTTGTTGTTGTTGTTGTTGTTGCTTGCTAATGGCCTAACAATTATGATTCCAAATATTTATTTCCACCTTATAATCAACAATTTTCTCTACTTCTTACAGGTCCGCCTCTAGGTAAGCATTTCTTAGTTTTTAGCCTAGTTTGCTTATCACGTAAATTAAATTCTCATCAATTGTTTTAATAATTATTTCTCTCGCATTCTTAGAGCAGAAGTACGAACATCCACCAGGTAAAATTATTATTTTGACGACGCTGATGATGATTAAATTGAAGGACATGATGATTGTATGTATGCATGCAGTGTCGGATCCAGGGGGGTTCCATGGGTTCCTAGGAACCCCCTCGAGCATAAAAAAATAAAATAAATGATAAATGAAATAAAATGAAAACGCATCGTACAATGAATTTTTATTCAATACATTCACACTACATTTGCTACAGTTCGAGAGGCACAGTAAAAAAGTTCGTTTTAAAGAAAATGCGAAAACAAAGAGGAACCCCCCTTTGAAAAATCCTGGATCAGGCACTGGCATGATGACCATAGTCATGTGTAGTAAATTAAGGTGATCCATGATGGTCATGAGGTGAAGGAAATTTATGCCAAAAGTGTACGTGTATACATAATCTCAATTGGTCAGTCTCTTGATTAATAGCGATTATGATAACATATGTATACATGATGGCAATGATGATGTGTGGTGATCGATGATAGTCATCACAATCTATGTTAGTATACAAAAACGATAGTCTCCTTCACGGTTACCTGCGCCATCCTGAAAAGGTAGCCGTGCCTTTGCATCGAAAAGAGACGACCGTTGAGCATGCAATGGTAGAAACCTTTCACACCTACAGACATTTATTCACAGGTTTCTATCATTGCAAGCTCAACGGTTGTCTCGCTTCGATGTAAAGGCACGGCTACCTTTCAACATAGTGCAGGTAACCGTGAAGGCGAAGGAGACCTTTATAACATCTCCTCAACCATTKTCTAATCAATTCTAATATCTCATCTCAGCTGATTGTGAAGACGAAAGGGAAGACTGTTATTTTGTAATGAGGCGATGGGGACAAGACAACTGCAAACTCCATAGCGCATACGCTTATCGGTATT